TCTTCGCGAATTGACACAGGTGCTTGCCTTTGATGGTTCTTACGTCAATCACCGTCATTTGGCTCTTCTGGTCGACGTTATGACTGTCCGTGGTTACCTGACGCCAGTCACACGGCATGGTATCAACCGTGCTGACAACGGTGCTCTTATGCGTTGTTCTTTCGAAGAGACGGTGGAAATCTTGTTGGAGGCCGCAGCCTTTGGAGAATTGGATGATTGCCGCGGCGTGTCTGAAAACCTGATTTTGGGACAGATGGCACCTGCCGGTACTGGAGAGTTTGACATTTACCTCGACCAGAACATGCTTAACACTGTGGTTTCGAATAATGCTCGCTTTGGCGTGATGGGAGCCATCGGCGCCAAGGATGCGATCATCTCTGACGGTGCCGCCACTCAATATGACACCGGTTCACCCATGCAGGATAACGCTTATATCGGTACACCTGATCCCGAATCGAATTTCTCTCCTATCCGTCAAGCTGGTGCTGAATCCCCGGGCGGCTTTACTGAATATCAGCCGACCGGTGGCTTTGGAGGCGGGTTCAGCCCAGCGGCCACGAGTCCAGCTGGTTATTCTCCCAGCAGTCCATTCAGTGCTAATCCCACATCTCCTGGCTATTCCCCGTCATCGAGCTACTCACCAACGTCGCCTGGTATGGCAATTACCAGCCCTCGTTTCTCCATGACGTCTCCGGGTTTCTCTCCTGCGAGCCCGTCCTTCGCACCGACATCACCTGCTTACTCGCCAACATCACCGGCGTATGGCCAGGCTTCGCCGACCTCACCGTCGTACTCTCCTACATCACCCGGGTTTTCGCCGACATCGCCAAACTACAGCCCTACATCGCCAAGCTTCAGTCCAGCTTCGCCTGCATTCAGCCCAACGTCGCCAAGCTACAGCCCAACCAGTCCCGCTATTGGTGGCGCCGCTCGGCACCTGTCGCCTACTTCACCAACATCTCCAAAGTATACACCTACATCTCCTGGGTGGTCTCCCACTAGTCCCCAGACATACTCTCCTACCTCTCCTAATTTTGCCGGCTCGCCGACATCTCCCGGAGGACCCACCTCCCCTGGTTATAGTCCGACGTCGCCGGCGTTCAGCCCTTCGTAAGTCTTGTTTTCCACGCATCCTAGGCTTTACCTTTACTAACTCTTCTTGAAGGTCCCCTCGCCAGTGAAGTTTGCTTTAATGCGTATCTTCTCTGTATCATTGTATTATCACTTCATCGAACAGCCCACGAAAAAGAAAACATTTTGCATTCTAAGTTGCGGAATTGGTTGGTTATTTTTTCCACAATCTGGGCGTCTGTAGCCTCGTTTCTCTTCTCCTTCCTGCATGTATGTTTTCTTTCATGCTTCGGCCCAATGAGTTTATTCCTTATTCGATAGCCTCGGAGCCAGCCCGCTCAAATTGCGAATGAGGTTTGTGGGTTGGCCAAGTCTGTTTCCTTTTCTTTTGAGCACTGAAATTACCAAGCGTCTTTTAGAATTGCCCCGGACTACAAGGTTCATCACTCTAGAAGTGATTTAACCCTCTTGCATGTTGCTGTTTCCCCTGGTTTGCATGGAAGAATATGATTATGCTACGGAGTGTATTAATGATGCGGTCACAAATCTTTCTCTTTCTCCTGTACACAGCTTTTAGTGCGAATGGGGTTATGGATGCAAAGAAAAATTATATAAAAAAAAACATTAAGAAAAACAAAAATAGCAGCTATTATGAGACCTATTTGAGGAAGAAGATCGGTAATGCTGAGCCTTATCAGTCTGTAGGACTATTTATGTAGTTAGCTTTTTTTGTAGTGTCGGCGAAATGAACCTCCGCGTGGACAGGTGGCCCGTTCCGCATTAGAGCTCTTAGGAAAGCATGCAATGCATGATTACTTCCCTAATCTTATCCGTCTGGATCTGGCGATGCTCTTCTAACCGGGGACAGTTCGCCATGTTCTTCTCACTGATCAGTACTAACAATTCCTTGCTGACAACATGAAAAACTTGTGGTTATGGCGTTTCTTGCCTTTGGCGTTTCGTGAGTGTTGGGTGCGGAGCTCAACTTATGATGGAAGCTGACATCTCTTGACTACGGTCTAGTGCTACTGCAGGCGCTTGCAGTGGAATCGAAGGCGTCCACTGATGTCGCTCACGAACCATATCAGCATCCAGACCAGTCTCCAGGTGGGACAGAGGGTTCTGGCGCTAGACCTGGAAGCCGTGAGTGTCCCCGTTCGGCCTAAGCTGTTGTCGCTCTAAGCGCTAAGATGATAACGGCCTCTCTAGAACACGTTGATACCGCCCTCAAAATTCTCCGTAACTCAAAGATCCCGATCGTCACGTCCGAGAAACCGTCCGGCATATTGGGGAACACATTACATTACTTTAAAGAGGCTTTCCGCGTTCTGTTCCTGAATGGCCCGCCATCAGATAATGCTGAGCGGCAGAAGATCCACCCAAATGTCGCAAAGGCCGTGGACGAACTTAAGATCGCTGCGCAAAAAGATCAGAACCCCGATGCGATGTTCCTGTTAGCGGAGTTGAATTTCTACGGCAACTACACGCATCCACGAGACTTCAAGCAAGCGTTCCAGTGGTATCAGAGTCTTGCTTCGGCCACTGGAAACAGTACGGCACAGTATATGGTGGGATTTATGTATGCGACAGGTATCGGAGGTGGAGTTGAGCGAGACCAGGCGAAGGCGCTATTATACCATACTTTCGCCGCGGAAGGGGGAAACACGAGGTCGGAGATGACGCTCGCTTATCGAAATCATGCTGGTATTGGGATGCCCAGAAATTGCGACCATGCAACGTATTACTATAAGAAGGTTGCAGACAAGGCTATTCAGTACTTCCGATCCGGACCACCTGGGGGACATAGTATGATTCGGGAATCATACCGTTGGGCTGACGAGGAGGGCGGCGTATATGGCGAAGGTGCCAGTGTATCCAGCTCGGGACCAAACGCCATGCGTGATGCAGCACATTCAAGCACCGAAGCCAGCTTGGAAGATGTCCTCGAGTACTTGGACCTTATGTCGAGAAAGGGCGAACTTAAGGCTACCTTCAGCCTAGGAAAGATGCACTACGAAGGCTCGCGAGGTCTGCCTAGAAATCTTCGAAAGGCCATGAAATATTTCAAACAAATCACAAAACGCTATTGGAACAAGGACGGGTCTGTAAACCCGAACCATCCTCTTGGAATTGAGAAATTAGCATCGAAAGCAGCGGGTCATATAGGGATGATGTATCTCCGTGGTGAAGGTGTAGAGCAAAACTTTGCCACTGCCCTCACCTGGTTCAGGCGTGGAGTGACAAATGGGGATTCGCTCTGTCAACATCAAATGGGACTGATGTATCTCCATGGATATGGCGTGCAGCAGGACGCTTTCAGGGCTGCATCATATTTCAAGTCCGCATCTGAGCAAGATTTCCCCGCCGCAGAAACAAGACTGGGGGCTTTGTTCTTGGACCAAGGTGATGTCCCAACGGCTACCCGGTATTTTGAGCTAGCTGCCCGCTGGGGCTGGATGGAAGCCTTCTATTACCTGGCAGAATTATCCAATAATGGTATTGGTAGGGAACGGCATTGTGGAATGGCTGCATCATACTACAAGATGGTCGCAGAACGAGCCGAAGTGATACATTCATCATTCGATGAGGCAAACACCGCATATGAGAATGATGACAAAGAACGGGCTCTCGTTGCAGCCATGATGGCTGCGGAGCAAGGTTATGAGCATGCGCAGTCCAACGTAGCATTCCTGCTCGATGAGCAACGCTCTTTGATGTCCTTCGATCGCATCCTACCGGGAGCAAAGAAACCTCGACCGTCTCTGCTTCGGAATGCCGCGTTGGCCCTTATCTATTGGACTCGTTCCGCCAAACAGACAAACATTGATTCTTTAGTTAAGATGGGTGACTATTACCTGGGCGGTATTGGTATTGCTGCAGATGCCGAGAAAGCCTCCACTTGCTATCATAGTGCCGCCGAAGTCCATTATAGTGCACAAGCCTATTGGAATCTTGGCTGGATGCATGAGAATGGCATCGCTGTGGAACAAGATTTTCACATGGCCAAACGATACTATGATTTAGCACTCGAGACGAGTACCGAGGCCTATTTACCCGTAAAATTGAGCTTACTGAAGCTTCGTTTACGGAGCTATTGGAACAGAATCACTAACGGCAAGATCAACTCTATCCAAGACGAAGAAGGTATGGATGCCGCAGTCAACTTTAGTAATAGGCTATTTGCTGACCCCATTCTCAGAGTCAAAGCCCCGGCGGACATTGAAAGAATGGATTGCAGCGTTCATTGAGAACGACGAAGAGGAGGAAGCCTATCGTGCACAGATGTACAAGCGAGCCGAGGAAGAAGATGACCTGCTATCGGGTGGTTCAGATCGACACCATATCGATGACCGTCATGAAGATGGCTACTACGACGACCTGGAGCTCGATATCGATGAAAGTGTTTTAGAAGGCCTTATTATTGTTGCCTTAGCCGCGACTTTGCTAGTGCTTGTATACATGAGGCAGCAACGGAACAGACAGAGACAAGATGGGAATGTAGGCGCGAATCCAGGAGCCCCGGGGAATGGAAATGAGGACCGAGGTTTTTTCCCTCGTCCTGGAGACCCGGAGTTCGCTCAATGGGTAGCAGGCGGCGTCGGGCATTGATGAGGAGCACTCATAATCTGTATATCGTGTATTTAATGATCAGGGGAAGATTTTACAACTGTAGACGAATCCTTTCATTGATGATATTATTATATAAACATTTAAACTGATCTCAGCATAGATTAACAAACAATTTCTACATTCTATGATGATATCTACCAAGGCGTCTAAAATCCCTTTGCTAGTTGTCAAAAGAGGATTCCATGTTGGTGAAATTGAAGAAAAGTAGGGCCTGGAAGTTCCTTGGCGCATGGCCTTTTTAGGTGGGTCACTCCGTCTTCTCTTAAACTTGCATGAATGCCGCTTCCTTGAATACCCACAAACGCTTCGATACAATGTAATCACTTCAAGTATTGCTAGACATTCGAAAAAATGTCTTCCGCCAACCTCAATAGAAAGCGCCGTCGTGTTGAAAGTGCAGCTTCGGCGCTTTCCAAACCTTTCAAGTCTCCCCTCCGCCGACCACCGCAAGTCTCGGAGACCAAGCACGAGGCATTATCCAAAGAAGAAAGTAATGTTGACATCAATGATGCGCACACACCACCTGCGACCTCATCTTCCCCGTCGTCTACTCGTCCCTCGAGCTTGGAGCCACACAGGAGAAAAGCGCAAATAAACCATCTAGCTTCATCTAAAAAACCAGTATTTTCTGACCCAGTCATTCTTGATCTTCAGAAGCAAGAAAGGGCGCTGCAGTCACGACTTGCTATCCTGCGATCTGAACTTGACACTGCACAACAAGCTCTTCAGCTCGAGTCCTCGACCAAAGATGCAGACCTCCAATCGCTAATTATGAAGTGGAGATCTGTCAGTCAGAACGCAGCCGAAGAAGTTTTCTCTGGAGCTCAGGAACGTGTGGCGCGGATGGGGGGTATGAAGGCATGGAGGGAGCGAATGAAAAATAACAATACGCAGTGGGAGCAAGAGGAGATGGAGCCCTGGTATGGCAACGCAGAGGCTGAAAGGGTTGATGTGGATGAAGATGAGTTGGAGGCTCGGAAGGCTGAGATGCTAAGGGGTTGCAAGAAGAGGCACGATGAGGGGCAGGAAGACGAAGAGGTTGAAGAAGAAGTTAGTTTTCTATTCCTATTAAACCTTCCTATGGGTACAAGGATACTAATCTCAACTAACAGGAATTCACCATGGACTTCATGTTGAAGACGTTGAATATTGACCTTAAGGTCATCGGATATGATAAAGCTCATCAAAGATGGATTAAGGAATAGTCTCCAACTCTTGCATACACTGTTCTGACTTTCAGCTATGAAATAAATATGCATGATCTTCGTTATTTTTATTCTATCTATCTTTCACCATGTATAGCTGTTGTCCTTCTTACGTAGTCCAAAGGAGTTCGGAGTAATCGCGTTTTCTAGGACACAATAATCAATTGAAAGTTACCCACCCTTACACAACGGAGAAGGAGCAATGTGTTCATTAAGGTTGCATATAATGCAGTTCTATCGAAGACATGGTTGGCACAATTTCAAATTCCCCACATAATCTAAATGCGGAGTAAATTCAAATGAAGTGGGGGGAACCGGTCTTGTTCTTATCTTTCGTTGCTATCTAATCACTCACTCACTCACTCACTCACCCTGTCCAGGCCAGCCATTTTTATCACAAATCCTTCGATGACTTATGCCGCGGACTGCAAACCATTTTAGGGTTCTCGCCTGCGCTCGTTGCTTTCGATTGAAGCGAAAATGTGACCATGTTAAACCAACCTGTGGAGAATGCAGACGGAGAGGTGCAGAATGTCTACCAGCGAACTCTTGCAAAAATGGAGAAAACGTAACTGTCCCTTTGGAATATCTGAAATATCTAGAGACCAGAGTTGCTGAGTTAGAGCATGGGTCGCGCACCTCAACAACGTCGCTGCAAACACGAGACTTTGGTGTCCAAACCGAGCCGACTGATCTGCTTACCTGCGATTCAATGCCTGATTGCTGTCCTGATACTGACAAGGACAACGATGCTAACGCATATCCGCCGATATTTTGCGATCTTCTGGATTTCGGCTTGCAGCGAAAGCCTCCGGGCTCGAATGCACATTCAGTCATCACATCGCTTGGGGATTCTACAAGCTCTAGAGCAAGTGATGGATTCGACTCAATGGATACGAATGTGGATGGCGCTAAACCAACAGAGGTTGGCTCTCTACATGATCTTGCCGTAGTGGGCGGTTATTCATTCTGGCTCGAAGAAGCCTACACCAACCTATACTTCTCGATTACACACTTCATGTGGCCATTATTTGATTGCAACGCTTGGGGTTCCTGGCGTCGTGACTGGAGCCTAAATGAAAAGACAGAACCATGGAAAGGATTTTTTGTGCAGATGGTATATGCTATTGGTTCCTTGTCATACAACGTTCTCCAGCCCGGGCAGAACCATTCAAATCGCGCGGCAGAGATGTATTCCTCGGCACTGTCGTACTACCCTTACGTTATGGCAGAAGCGTCCGCTACCCTTCAGATACAAGCGTCAATTCTCATGATTATCTACTCTCTTCACTGCCCTTCTTCAGGAGAAATCTCCATGTCAGTTTCCTCCATCGTCCCGTTCTGTTCAGCTACTTTGGCCGAGATTCAGAAACGCATCTCTTCTGGTCCGGATAGCACCCTGGGAGACATTACGGGAAGGAATGCCAGCCTAAATGAGTTAATGTTCATCACTTGTTATATGTTGAATGAGATCATAGTGTCCGGGTGGGAAAGACCAGTTTCTGCGGCCTATAGGATTGTTGATGATGATGTACGGATACCTGAGCTCTATTTCAACTGCTTCGTATCTTCGAGGCCTTGACTAACGGGGAAGTCATAGATTCATATGTTTAGCAATGCGATATTGGATGTCTCAAACACAAACACGGCGTTGCAACACTTGTTCAGATTGCGAAAGATCCAAGCCAATATCCGAAGATACTGGGATGAGCCAACTGATATCCAAAATTCGAATGACAGGTCGTTCAAGCTGGCGCTGGATGATTGGAGGAAAGACATACCTCAATACTCTGTGGAAGAAGCGCAGAGGACCTATCTCGATCCTCTATGGATGACAAAACTATACGACTACAGTATAATCATCCTTATGCAAGGAAAGCGGAAACATCTCATGCGCGAAGATCTTGATGACATTCTTTCGGCTGGAGTTGAGGTATGTCTTAACTATAGACGTCTGCAGGAAGAAGGTCAAGTGATGTGCTTTACATGGTCCGCGGTGCGTCTACACTAGCAAGTATCGTCTTTGGGGAATTCTTACTAACGTATACGCTATAGCTTGTGTTTCAGTTCCGGACCGGGATTTTACTTCTCTATATATGTCAGTCCGCGAGCCTGGAGCTCGATTATATGCAGCAGGCTTTTGAGGCCGTATGTGCCTGTGCAGACAGCCTTACCTATTTTGCCACCCGTTGGCAGGATGCCACTCCTTACGCTAAAGTATTTTACTTCCTTCTTTACTCTGCCTCTTGGCTCCCAGAAGATCTTCCCGAGCGGCTGCGGTGTGCATGTTCTTTTAGTGAATTGGAAGCCTACTTGAAACAATTAAAGAAACAGTACTTGCACAAAGAGGTTCTCGCAATGATTGAGGATATGGTAGAACCTCTCATTTCCGATATATGCTAACAAATATAAGGGACTATGCCTGTTTTGGACATCCTCTTAGAGTATTGATGAGATAGTGAACCAGAGAGTCTGCATGGTGTACATATTATATTTGGTATATACAAATTGGGAACATGATAAATCATAGTAATAACAATTTACCAGCTCTTTGACCAGTGTTCGTATGAGCCACAATCACAACAATTGTCTGGACCAAAGCAGGGCTTGTCCATCGGGACCACGTGTCGTCACGAGCTGAGACGGGATATGTCGCAGTCAAACTCCATCCGTTGCCATCAAGTCGAGGATCAACTAGTTCACCGTTGATATAGCATACCAACTGTTTCAACTGCGCGCTGCGGCTACTTTGCAGGCTCCCTTTGACCTCGACATACACAGTCGAATCCTTGATGCACTTGGACTGATCTGTGATAGTGACTTCAGGCAGTTCTATCTGACCTTGAACAGAGGAGGACTGTCGGTTTTCAGTCATATGAACAATATCAGAGTCTAACTCTGGCACACGAGGCGGCACTTGGCGATAATGTGTAGATTCTTCATATGCATACGCATAACGCAGCAGCTTGGTGTCATCATATGCCTTTCCCGCGAAAGTTAAATTTACTGGCATTTTGGTGTCCTCCATCATACCCATCGGGACAGACACAGTGGGAATACCAAGATGGCGGATCTCCCGGTTCCCGTTAGAGTACTTCACACCATTTTTCCAAGCGTACAGAGAAGCCTCGGGATCCACATCTGCGTTTGCGCGGCCAATATCGCCATTAGCGGGGAAGACCACTACATCAAGACCCTGAGTGTCCATCCATTGTTCGAAGGTTTCCTTTCGTGCGCTTTCCAGGGCTTTAATAGCCTGCTCTAGGTTCGAAATTTCGAAGATCGAATTGGGCTTGTTCTTCGGATATTCGACCATCTCGTGCCATCTAAGCTGGTTTGCAGCATCAGGGGTTCCGCGAAGAGAGCCGGGTGCAAGAGGAAAGATGGTCTCGGGGTCTACACAGGAAAGCGAATCAAGTCCAGGCTGGCCGTTGGCGGCTAGGAAGTCATCCCAGGAGTGGGCCACAAGCTGACATCTTTCCACTGAGTGCCAGCCTTCTGGAAGGTCTTTGACACTCACCAGTTCTCCCAGGCTTGCTCTAGCTTCGTAAGTGGTAACCATTGGAAAGTCAACCTCCACAACCGTAGCACCACACGCTTCCAGTGCGCCTTTTGTTCTTTCCCAGAGCTTGAGCACAGAAGGTCTCGTGCAAACTTTATCTGGGAGAGGGTCCTTGCCACCGATATACATAGAAGGCACACCGATCCGTTTCCCACGAAGGGCAGAGCTCTCCTTCAGCTCATCGAACAATTGAGGTCGGATTGTGTCCACCGAGGGTAGAGGGATAATCTTCTGCTCATTCCAGAAGTCTCCTAAAGGTGTCTTGTCGACAACAGCAAGGACATCCAGGACCTTGAAGAGGTCCGACATGGTGCGAGTATGGGGTACTAAAACGTCGCAAGTGGGATATAAAGGCCACACTCCACGGAGAGGCAACAGACCCTTTGATGGGGTATAGGCGATAATGGAATTATTGGAAGCAGGGGATCTGCCCGAGGACACAGTCTCAGAGCCTAAGCTAAACGCACAGAAATTTGCTGTGGTGGCTGTTGCAGATCCGTTAGAAGAACCTGACGCATATGCTGCGGTCAAGTACTCTGGGTTATATGGACTCTCTGAGCGGCCGTACGAGCCTCGCTGCATGCCTCCGTATGCCATCGCAGGCATATTAGTCCTTCCCAAGAGAACCGCACCCGATTCGCGCAAAAGCTGGACGCACGCAGCATCTTCTGTAGCGACAAGGTTCTCGAATGCGGGCGAACCGCTGGCAACTGTCATACCCTTGACTTTGATACTGTCCTTGACGAGATAAGGGATGCCTTCGAGGGGCCGCGCGGGAAGACCGGCAGCTCGACGGGCATCAGAAGCTGTAGCTTCATCGAAAACAGCGGGGTTGAGAATAGGAATGGCACTTAAATCAAGGCCAGCTGCATCATACACACTGATCCGCCGGAGATATCTAGCTACCAGATCCACACTTGTGACCCATCCTACGCTCAAGGCATGCTCGAGCTCTGAGATGGTGGCATCGACAAGACTGAACGTTTCAGCAGTCTGGCATTCATTAGCATAATATGACCTTAGTATATTGGCCGTTGATCCTTACCGACTCCATGACAGACAAGAAAGCTTACTAGCTCTGGTGATGGAAGGTTCCACCCGAGGTATATCCACGAACCGCACAAATGAAAAGAATTGATCAGAACAACTTAAGAGCTGGATAGCCCGGGTTTATCGTGGAAACTGTTGTTATTGGGGCTATCTATTGGGATTTCCCACTATTATATACATCCAGCTTTGGGTGCGCATATTTGAAACAAGCTCCACTTATGCTTCCCTCCATTTCTGTCGGAAGTTGGCTTCACCCTCCGGCTATAGCAGGAGCGGACAATTGTCCGCTCTGTTAGTCAGATGGTTTAGATAGCGTGGGGAAAGCGAAGAGGTGCGTGTGCCAAGTCTCGGTATGATATTATCAGTGAGTCTCCCGCATCTTATCTACAGATAAGGTTAGTTGTTAGTGGCCTAGCGAGCGGGGAAGGTTCAGGGTTAAGGATAACATGCAGGATCTTAACGTTGAAAGCGCAAAGCTTCACAGCCCTAAAAAGGAAAGTCCTTCACAGCCGAGGCCACTAGGTTATCTCTCACTATCTCCTCTCAACCATTGGTTTGCTTCTTTCCAGGCAGTGGGTCTGCTTTGCAACCATGCATTAAGTCCCATGCGGGGATATACGGTCACCCCTTCGATAAGCCAGTTGAGATGAGCGCCAAGTGATAACATACGTTGTCTTTTATCTGTTGCAATCCTCTGGGCCCAATTGATTTACAGATATAAATCAGCTCGAAGAAACACCCCAAGCTATGAAAGACAAATCCGACAACGACTTCAGTACTATTAATCGACGTGGACTGCTTTACTCAGCCTTGCCCCCATGATTGACGCCACCAATGACACGAAAGCTGAAGTGCGGAGCTCGGCCAGTGTTGAAAAACATGGCGACCTTATGTCGGGTGAAATCCGCGACATCGGAGCGGATCTCTATGCTGAAGTCGGTCAACTTTCGCCTGAAGAGCTCGAACGCGAAGGCGCTGAAGTGCGCAAGCTCCTGGACTGGCGAATTTTACCCATGGTAGCTTTGCTCACCTAAGATGCCGCTTGATGTCTTCACAATCTTCTGACAAGCTCCGTATTTAGTTATATGTGACATATGTTATCCAATATTTAGGTGAGTATATCGTCATACGTTACTCCTCTCGTGCCAACCTGACTAAGTTGTACCGAATAGACAAACTGTCACTCAATTATGCCTCCGCTTATTCGTTCATACCAGACCTCGGCTTAGAGGGCCAAAGGTACTCGTGGGTAGCAGCGATATTCAATTTTGGATATCTTTTTTGGGCTATTGTGCGTGCGATAAATGTTGGGCTATTAGAACAAAAAGCTAATAAACCGGATCTAGCCATCCAATTTGATGATCCAACGTTTGCCGCTCGCGAAGTACATGGGAACTGTTCTAATTATCTGGGCTGGCCTTGTCATTGCACATATTGGAGCCAAAAACTACGCAGGGATACTGGTTCTCAGGTTTCTGCTGGGTATGGCGGAGGCTGGCGTTAGCCCGTGCAGTAAGTATACCGACTAGGAATTACCGAAGATACAATTGTCTAATGACAGGTAGTGATGAACTTCACCTCGATGTTCTACAAACGAGCCGAGCAGCCTCTCCGGATGGCCATTTGGCTCTCTGGGAATGGAATGGCAACAATGGTCGGCGCTCTCTTGGGATTTGGATTAGGCCATTCTCACAATACCAGCCTGCGGAGCTGGCAGCTGATCTTCTTAACGATTGGATTACTCAACTTCATTACCGGATGCTTCTTTCTCTGGCTCATGCCTGACTCCCCGAGTACAGCGAAATTCCTGTCCCACAGACAGCGCGTTGTGGCAGTTCACAGAGTTTCAGAGAATATGATCGGGGTCAAGACCAAGGAAATCAAGCTGCATCAAGCACTGGAGATTTTTTACGACGTCAAAGTACTCTGCTGTATCGGCATTGGCATCGCTTGCGGCGTTATTAATGGTGGTGTATCCAATTTCTCATCATCTTTAATCAAAGGGTATGGCTTCAGTGGCATTTATGCAACGCTCCTGCAACTACCAACTGGAGCCATCGAAGCCGTGATAGTCCCTATCTGTGGCTTAATATCGACATACGTGCGGGACTCGCGCTGTATGGTGTTGGCTGTCGTGAGTTTGATTCCATTCGGTGGCCTCCTCGGCATTCGTTTCACGGACCTCGACCATCGCTGGACATTGGTAGGCTGCACATGGCTTCAATACATCATCGGTGCCCCTGTCATCATATCCTGGAATCTTCTCTCCACCAATGTGGCCGGCCATACAAAACGCTCCTTCGCTAACGGGCTCTGGTTCACGGTATACGCAAGCGGAAACGTTGCGGGGGCCAACATCTTCTTTGCTCGCGAAGCTCCACGGTATTATTCGGCATTGACCGGTCTTCTTGTCTGCTATGCGGGAATGATTGTTCTGTGTGCTGTTGGGTATATGGCCATGAAGTGGGAAAATCTGCGGAGAGACCGCAGTATGTCATCAGAGGAACCGGCGGAACGTCGTGAGGAGGCTGCTGTTCTCGATGGCTTTAAGGATATGACAGACATGGAGTCTAAACATTTCAGATATGCGCTCTGATTATGGATAATGAATAGTAGGGTATATAGTGGCCTATAATGATGTGAGGATTTCTTGATTATTTATCTTAACATCAGCCTTCTTTCTTATCGATGCTAGGTTAGAAGACTAAGAACAAAGACGTAATACTAAACTTGCCCAAGTCATGCTCCTCTCCTCTTCCTAGACTTGTGACTCGAGTATCGGCTTACTATTATTTGGTAGATACTTTCCTCAACGTACTATTTTATATCTATCACAAGAGTTGAATATCTCATACATATCAGTCATCCCACAGGA